AGACCGTACAAACAACAAAATCGAAGCAGAGCTTTCATCTTCCATTCAGGATCCGGGACTTGCGCCGTGCTCCAGACCCGGTTAATTCATCCAGTCGATAATGCAACCACGTTGTTTTTCCCTCGTCGGATCAATCTTCGAAACGCATTGTGCTGCTACGCACTCACCCCCAGGATACGCAACGGACGAACCCAAAAATGGGATGCGCACTCGACAGATGCAACGGATATTCCGGGAGTAGGACGTGGAAAAACCCACGTCGTTTATTTTTCAAGAGAGGATAGAGACCATAAAAGCACTAGGAGTCTTTAAAACAATGCTGTAAAGTTACATGCAGCGCAACTGTTTAAATTTCTTCATAAAGCAGTTTATGATAGCGATGTCATTACCAGAGATTGCGAAAAACGCCGTGGGAGAAACAATCTTTATGCTGCAATATTAAAAATCTAAACCAAAAGATTCCCGATTAAATGTTATTGTTCTTTTTTAATCTGTTTTATCAATTATTTGTTTCTTGTTATCAATGATTCCAAAAATTCAAAAATTCCAAACCAGTCACAACAAATATACTAAAAATTGATACGCAAACATGCAATACCTATACCAAGAAATAAAAATGATAAGCATCAGAAAGAAATAAACAACCATTTTTAAATACATCACATCAAGAAACAAAACTTACATACTACCTTACATCCATGATTAAAAGGCTTTATAACTTGACAAAAAGTAAAGCATTTAAAAAACAAAAAACACCTATTTTAAATTTGTAATAATAATTAATAATTGTAGGTAGGTATAATTCCACACAAAAACAAAAACTTTTAAATCTTGATATCTCCAACTTTTGTAAAATTGAAATAAATTATTACACAACACAAAAATAAATAACACGTATTGTATTTTAAATTTTTATAAAAATGAAAAAAACCAAAACTGTCCAACAGAAAAGAGAATGTCTTTTTCTTAAAACCCTGAGAAAACTTAGCAGACAGATGGTTTTATGAATATTTTGAGATTTTTATAAACATGATGCGTAATTGCTTAACTGTTTGTTCATACTAACAAAGTTGACATTTATGTACTTGTTAATAGCAATTTTTCAAAACAAATTTTTTACCACGTTACCAATTATAAAGTACGTAAAAGCTTTTCAATAATTTGTTGTCCAAGATATTTTTTGTTTAAATTGTGCACTACTAAACACCCCATTTTTTCATAAATCTCTTGGAAAAATAGTAAAAAAATAAACGTTTTGTCTGAAATGGAAATAATCCATACCGAAACAAAAAACTGTGTAGTAAGTTGACAAAATTTTAAAAACACAGTTTTTAATTGATTTTCTCTCTTTGATAAATAAAAAAAATATATATGTGAGCGCAGAAGGTAAAAAAAAGTAGTTGCCTCCTGTGAGGTTTGAACTCACGACCCCTGGTTTACGAGACCAGTGCTCTACCACTGAGCTAAAGAGGCTAGTGATGATGTCGCTCTCCTCACCATATCAAATGCTACATTCAATTCACAATCAACTTTCTCACTTTTAACAACAACAAAGGGTCAATAAAACATCAAAATTGACCTTGTTGAAGTATCCAAATAAAACCTTTTGTGTCGATCATTACAAAAACTCGACTTCCTTGTATTTCCACACCTTTTTTAATGAGAGCCTGACATTTACCCATTATGTTACTAATTTCAAAAAGATTACACACATAATCATTATTAGACCACATGAATTGTATAACGTGAGCGTTAAATTAAGATTTTTGTTACATAAAAGACTTTTTATTGTTCACTGCCATCTATTTATGGAAAGATTAATGCGGTTATGAAAACTTGTCAATTGCAGGAGATCTATCTTTATCTAATAACACATAATTGATTCGAATCGTGGGGGTTGAGTAATTGCTTTTAAAATAATAATTGTTAATTGTGGGATGCACTGACAGTAGGTATACACTGTGTTACAATATGAAAAAATCACAATTTACACCTATTTCATCTCAAAAATACAAAAGGGTAAACATTACAATCACCTGACGTTTTGTCTTTGGCAAAGAATAGGCGTCATGTAATAAAATTTAAAACAATGAAATTTTATCGAAACAAACATCTCTGTATTTATTTGTCGCACGTCTTTTGGGGTTATAAATCTCATGTTTCTTACAGCGAAAAGTGTTTAAAGTCTTGAGTAGTATATTAAAATGTTACTTTTGAATCAAAGCATTTGATACACAAAAAAAAACCATTGAAAATCATCTAAAATGAAATATAAGCATGATTTTGGATGATTTTCGTCAACCAAATGAGAGTACAGAAGTAACATTTGAGATATACTACTATCTTGTAACAACTGCGCAATTGCTACGCAAAAACTTTAATGAAATCAGGTCATTATTGCGCCCCACAAAAGCAAATTATTAAAAAAATATGAATGGACTTTTCCCTTTATGATTACCCATACGAAGGGTCTTATGATTTTGAAGAAGCCTTGGAAGACACGTGTGTGTGTGTCACACAAAGAAACTTCTTCCATAATTCCCCTTTTGTGTCCAGCTCGATGGGCACTCAGGTAGTATTCGCCATTGCACAATACCTACGACGCAAATTTTACACATCCATGGCCGTAGACTCACCAATCACTCGATAAAAGCCTAAATAATGCAAACTCCGGATCAATTAAATAATTAAGTGGAACGTTATAGCCACCTAGACCAAAAAAAAAAACAACTGCGAGAATATGAAAATGTCTATTGATTGGCCTTTTTGAGAATAAATCAGCAAGCGTACGCCTATGTTGTCGAAAGTAAAAAACGTAAAGTGTTGCGTGCGCCAATACGGCGTAGTAGAGAAGTCTAGAAAGGAGGCACGCGAGCAAAATGTGGAACACAAAGACGCCCTCGACAGCTGCTCGAGGAAAATTCACGTTTTAAAGACATCTGCGACTGAAAAATAAAGAAGCAAGGGAGGGTTGACGATACAAAGGTAAACTGACGTAAGAAAGCAAAAAAAATATATCGAATTCAATTGAGATGAAAGGGAAAGGAATCGGGTTGGAATTTATTCGTGTTGGATTTCGGACGAGTGGAGAAAAGGGGTACCCACGTAGAAAGGACTTAAGTTTTGCCACAAAGTCGGACTTAAACCATTATAACTTATGACAGTAATTAAAAATCATGGCGAAGAAGTGAAAATTAATCATAAATGAATAAAAGAATAGACATTAAAATACAGAAACTTATAACACTTAGCCAAATGTGACATAAATCCCTAACAAACAGAAGGTTTTCATAAAAAAATTCGTTACAAACATGTTTCATCACTAATGAAGGATAGATAATTTATAAGTGATGATTTGATGAAGTTTAGAACTATCCAACAAATTAAACAAAGATGTTCATTCACCTCTAGATATAAATAATGAAAAGACTATTTTAAATTAAAAAAGCCTTAACACATAAAACATAACATACGCACACATATGGTACACTTCCATGATTTCTTTGTGAAAATACAGCTTTCAAGAATTTGATAGAGAGATCTGATGTTTCAAAAGTAATTTTTAACTTTTATCAAAAAAAAAACAACTGAAAAGGTAAATTGAAGAATGCATAATAGTTGTTAGATAAATATTCTGACAATGTTCTTAAAATAAATATATCACAACAATCGTTATCAAGATTTTTTTTAAATTATAAAAAAAGTAAGTAATACAAAATATAGAAATGTATTTTTTTCGCTTCCTATACAAAAACCACTTTGTTTCATAGCAACAATTTTTAATTTTAGCATCGTTATCAAGCTTTTGAACTTATCTCAATTAAGGAAGATGGATTTGTTATCACCTGTTATCTTAATTAGCGTATTGTTTCTAAATATGTTAATAATGTTAATAATTAAACAAATTTCGCCCGCAACATCAAAAGTAGATTGTAACAAAAACAAAATGTTTTATTATTATTTATAGTGCTAATTACTTTGAATTTAAATAGTGTTTGGGTCATGATGATTAAAGCTAATTAATTTTGTACACACGATAACTTGATAATGACAAATTCTAGAAAATGTAATAATAATAATCAAACACAAAATTATTTACTTGTGAGAAAACAATAATTGTTTCGTCTAGATCGGTTAAGAATGATAAAACAAAAGATTACACTAAATTTATCAAAAATAAAATAAATATGATCGTTATCAGTTGATAGAAATAATCCAACACGAACTAGAAAATCAATTTATCGTTTAATAAAATCTCAAATAAACAACGATTGCGTATTTTCTTTTTAAATTTTGTTACAGACATGCAGATTTCTGTAAATATATTTAGAAAAATTGTATTCGTTTCATTCACGTGCTGCAAAAATAGCTTTTCCACCGTCGATTCTAATTATAAATTAATAAAATAACGATCTGTCAACCACAAAATTGTAGTTGCATCTTGAAATAATACAGTGCGACTTTACGATAAATGCACCAAAAAAGTAGATAATTTCATTAGGAATTAATAATCAAGATGAATAAAATATTCACTACAACTTTTTGGATATTAAACAGATTGTTTGGTACTAAAATAACTGGCTTATTTTAACCCGTTTAATATACACAACGCATTGTACCATAAACAAACTTCCACATGAATACAAAATGGTTAGAGAATTTTCCATACAAACCCAAAGCAGCCTGAAAATTATGTTTCTAAAGCACGAAGCTGTATTGATTGAAATCTAACTGTGTCGTCATCCTGGAAATTATTGAAAAACGTTTTTCACTATTTTACTTACCTCTGACACACTTTTCACTTGCAACATTTTTTCAACTATCTATTTAAAAGATAAATAAAAAAAAATAGGACGCAAATTCTTTTCTTAAACGATTTTCCACACAGGTAATTTTACGACCAATAAAAATTTTATTGGTTTAACAAAAGCAACCGAGATCAGGTACGCGATTTCGCCTGATTCATTTCTTACTATTTGACAATTCGAGATAAAACTTACCCTATTGTTCCGTCCGGAGAATGAAGTGATTCTAAAGAAATAAGATTATCTAAAATATCACGGAATAAATAATTACACTTACCAAAAATTACTTTATCGCCGATTTGCTTTCTTTGAGGCGAAGCAGGACGAATCTTCGTTGGCGTTTTGTCACCCCCTAGAGTATCTGACGACGATGCAAATCTTGCTTTTACTTGAAGTCTATAATTGTAGATTTCTTTTTGCAAGTCGTTGATTATGTTCCTCGCGTCGTCCAAACATCGCGACTTTTGAACCATCAGCTCCTCTTTTAATTTTTTCACATAATCATCGTTGTTTATGTCCAGTTCTTGAATTTTAGGCTTGTTTTGTTTAATTTCGCTTTTTAATTCTTCAATGTAAAAATCAACACATGGTTTCTGTAATTTGGTTTCGGTTTCTCTTGAACTAGGAGATGGTGCAATTCCATGAACGCACGGTGTGCACCGAGGGGGGCGTAAAGACACTCTAATATTGCTACTACTGCTCATATTACACAAGTTTGTCTTAATTCTGTCCTGTTTTTGACTAAGACATGCTGGCATTCTTGATTTCTTCGTTGCGAGGTTTTTGACATATGAATTGGAAACGGCGTATGTTGGACAGCAAGTGGATTTGTTGTTAAACTTTACACAAGATTTTCCATTAACATAAGCACGAGTCTTGTTATTTTCAGCAGAAGAACTTAGAAAATTATCTACGAATTTAAATACTGGGTGTAGATGTAAGTATCGACTACCCTCAGGAAGGTGTTCGGAACATTTAACTTCAGGAATATGCCCTTTTGTTTCTCGGGCAGGATTCGGTTGAAAGTGCTTAATTACTGTTACTTCAGGCATTTTTGTGCTTTGCTGCAACACACCTAGGCTCATGTTAGGCTTCCTTTGGGGCACCGTTTTCATTTCTTGAATGTAAACAAACTTTTAGGTTAGGTTGTTTTGATTTCGACATAAGTGTTTAAATTATATTAATATATCGACGATTCACCAATTTTACAGCAAATCACATTTTTGAGACCTCAATGCAATTCTGTTTTATACATTAATGTGAATAAATTCGAAGAACGCGGGCAAAATTTACTAAAATTTTGACAATCACAACCATAGATCGGGAATTTTAACAAACTAGCGTCACCTGGTGGTCACTACGCCAGTACACATTACAGGTAACAGAGTGTTTGTATTTGATTTGGTGTAAAGAGTAATTACAAGATCTTTACATAAAAGCCTACACAGACAAGAATTAGTTCTACTAATCTTGCCGTAAATGTTTCTTCACTCTTAAAGTAGGTAAGTGGAAAATTTCCGTGTAAATTTTAGGTTACATTTTCACAATCAGAAATACTTAATACCTTGGTAAATTTATAATGTTTAAATTAAAATGAGTAACTCTTTCTAGTTAAGCACAGGTTGTTATAAAAAGTTCGTCTTTTTTATATTAACTTTGTTCGAAACCAAATGAAGAAACCGCTGTTTTTATTCATTTTATTTTATTTTATTTTTCTGATTAATTCTCATCTGTCATCTTTCGTTTTTTGCACTAAAATGAAAATATTTATTTCGAAAACATAATGCAATAATTGTGAAGCCTTAAAATTTTTTCAATAACATAAATAACCGAATGAACATTTCCCGCCATTTTAGATGACACTTGACCATTTGTTGGTCTAGTGGCGCCCCTAACAGGAATTACAACGTGGTACTTTTAAAAAGTTACAGCTGAATGAACTTCTCAAAAAAAAACATTTTAAGACTTGGTTTAGGCCTTTTCACCAATTTGTTTAGTTTTAAAGATGTGTTCTAGTCATAATTATTATGTAGCATACTTAGGTACATAAACAACTCTACACACTACTATACATAAAAAAGATACACCATTTACATTTATTGTTGTTCTCTGTACAAATATACATTTTAGATAGAAGTAACATTAGATATAATTAGTCTTAGATAATTATCAGTACATTGCCTTGAAATTTTTCACGCCATCATTCCCAACTAATCGAACAAAAATAAAATAAATTATCTACCCCCCAAAATAAGTTAAGCAATTTTTCTCCTTATAACAACACTGTGCCAATTTGGACAAAAAGAGACAAGCATTTTCAACTTAATACAAAAATCGACCTTTGCTTCATTCTTAATCCGAATCAAATAAGTGTTGATATCTCCTATTTTACTGACAAGTTAGAAAATAAAATATATCTGATATATTACATGCAATTGCCAAAAATAATCACAGCTTAGATACTAAGTACATCTAATATGACACATGGGATTGTAACCATGCCATAAAAGCTAAACTTGCCTAACTACAATAAATTCGGATAAAATTTCTAATAAAACTGATCAACTCTCCATTATTTTCAATCTTGAGTTTTTGTAGGCTCTATTAGAGATTCGTTTGGTAATTTTAAGTGCAAGGCATTGATGAGTACCCTTTACTTAAATGAAGTTTTTGTTTATTGATTTGAAAGATTAAAAATAAAGGAGAACTAATAAATAGTATCACGGGTAAAGTAACAAGTGTAACAGTACTTTAAATTTGTAAAAAACATCAACAATCACTGTTTAAAATATGTGGTACACGACGTAATGTACCAATATAATGAAATATAAAAAACAAAATCGATACTGCGGGTATTATATTATAATAAAAACAAATATACATAGTCTCTGTAACGATATTATATAAAATTAGTATACATGTAACCGTACGAATATTTTTTTCATAATTTTTTCTTAGTTTATCATGTATGCTGACATAAAATACATTTTTATAATATTCTAATTTATATCTACAAAGGTCACAAGATTAAGTACATCAGTGCATAGATAAAAATTAAGTCGAAACCTTTCTGTAGTGACGAAAACATATAAAATGGAAAGAGAGGACTGCCACTTTCTAGTACAGTAGTTCAACTATAAAAATTAATCTCCTATCTACACTCTCTAAATAAATGTGCATAGATTTCGTGCTACAAGGAATGTTTAAATCGTTTGGCTTGTCATTTTAACATTACGTTTTGAGATAAATAATCCTTGTCTAAAATAATATAAAATAAAAATACTATCAAAAGTGATGTCAAATAAATAAATATTCGTAAGTACTCGTAGAATGCACCAAAAATAGCGTTACGTTTGTGCTGTAATACGTATTTAAAATATGCTCCTGCATTTCCCTGGTTCATAGTTAAATAATTTTTTATGGTGCTGAAAATAATGCCTACAAAAATATAATACTATAATGAAATATATTTTTTGATGGTCACAACAGTTGCTTTGGTCATTTTATATTAAAGTGGATGCCTCTTCATCTGGAATGTTATTTAAGTCGTTTTCGTCGTTGCGCCAATAGAAATATGGTGGTCCTTCAGATATGCAATATTTCATGTCCAGTGGTGTACCTTGCTCGACGTAATATATTATGTAAAAGTTGCACATTTCATTATCATGTTTAGGGCTAAAAAACAAAGATTGATTACAATGCAGAAGATGAAGAAAGTTGTACATTATGTATGGCATACATAACAAATACTTACCCTACGATAGTATATTCGGTTTTATTAGTGCTGTCCATTGTACATCTGGCTGCCTGTGAAATATTTATTATTCCCAGATGTAAAAGTAGCTTTACAACTTACAAGTCTGTCTCCGTATCGTATAGGGCCTTTGTTAAAAATAGGATAAAACATTTGCGGCGTATTGGGATTACGTTTTCCTAAAAGTGACCAATGATCCATGCCAGATTTATCTCTATGAACACTGTAACCGGATACAACTCTGCCTAAACTGTGCGTGTGTGTTCTATAGGCAAAAGGATAAATAGTTTTCTTCTCTCTAATTTGACAAAGCGTTTCCATATGTGTCACAGAACGTGGAGGAATAGCACCACCAGTTCCTAGTAGCAAAACTCCAGCTAATTTACTTTGTCTAAAATCAAAACTTTAGAATTGTTTCAAATTCCTAAAATTCTACTAACGGTTCCTCCGTGTATATGAGATTCAAGCCCGAATTATCACTTTCATTTTCTAAAAAAAAAACATTTGTCGGTATTTTACCTAATAAAGAAGCTTCATATTACCTTTAAACTTCTTCGAGTAGTGAATTTGTAGAACTAAGTATTGAATTTTTGTCCCTGCTCCGACTTGAAAGCCAACGTTTTCGGGAAGTTTCAATGGTTTGGCATTCAAAGCCCATGCATAAATTACCTAAAGGGTTTCTCATCACTAATTCAGGTTGCAAAGTAAAAACTTACATTTGACCCTTCTGCGCAAGGATTCGCTTTTCTTAAACTTGAACTAGAATCCGATGCCATTTCGCCGCAATCCCTGTGAATAAGAAACAAATGAGGAGGTCATAAGGAAGCGTTTTTTTCAAAAGTCTATACATATTTCAAATTTTGATTGTAGAGTTACAAAAAACATTGTTGCTGCTCTAGTGCAGCGTTTCGGACCAATAACAGTAGCAAAAAGTTAAGAAATACTACTTTAGCGCGTTCTTCTCACAAGGGTAGCAACAAAATATTTCATTTTTATATTTTTACTTAAAATTCAATTTGTAGTAGTTATAACTTCTAAGTAGTTTATTAATTTTTTTTTGTGAATTAGATTACAAACATGGTGAGAAGCATTTCCGAAACAGTAACACAAAAAAACTTACCAGTATGTATCAGTGGTTCCAGGTTTTGAGCACCCAAAAACAATCATGTGGTGGACGACATCCATTGTAGCAGTTGGCTCAAAACCCACTAATTTTTATTATCAGTATTGTTTTTATTAAAAAAAAACATATTTAAAGCTTACCGATGTAAAAACTTTTGTCAGGGACTACTCGAACGGGAGTGCAGAAATATGACTCGTCCTAAAAATTATTATAAAGCTTGCAACAAGTCTACTATTAATCAAAGCAAAGAAATTAAGGGAAATATTTACTTCTTTTATAAAAACAGTCCAATTAGTGTAATTTTTGTGAAGTTTTGTTACAACAATAATTTTGATGGAAGCGAAAATTGAAATATCTTTAAATTTAGAGCCAATTTAGTCGTCAGAATTTTTTCAGATTACTGAACCTTTTTAGCTGTTTTATAAAAAATTGATATTCATAAAAATATCGTATAAGTACTAAAATTTATATTATCAGAGCTTATGCATAGATATGTTTTATGTATTTTAAACACCTTGTGGCCAAGGAAATGTAGTAAAATGTATTGCAAAATGTAAACAAAATAATTCAACAGTTCCAACACAATAACACAAACATAATTAACTCTACCACATTATAAAATATTTTTTAGACATGAAAACGCTATTGTTATGAACTGTCAAGATTTTTAGATAATGTTTTTCCTGTTTCCTCTATATCATAAAAAATCAAAGGATGAAAAATTATGAAACTCAAGCCATGTTAGTAAAATAAATTTCTGTTGTTTAATAATCGATTTGTGTTTGTAATTTCCTGTTCCAATGTGGTACACTATAGGAATTGAATATTTCCCGCAATTTTCGGCTAAGTAAGTGGACCATTCTCATCAATGGAACTACTGAACTAGGCAACCACACGAACATAAACCAATTAACAGTTACTCACCCTGTCAGGATAGACATTGGGCATACGTAAAGGGAATTTTTTCACTTCTAGAGAACATGTTACTTGTATTAAAATTAAAACAGCACCCACAATATGTAGCGTATGTCTTCCTCCCATGCTTCTACTAATCGATCTAAGTTACAGGTCGCATTTTGTTCTGTTAGTTCTTTCAGTAACCAACCACAGTCAATAACCAGCAGAGTGACGTCAACGTGTAGGCGGGAATTTCAATTAAACATATGGTGGTGTTTGTTCTTAGATAAGTAACTCTTGTGGTTAATTAGTATTTATATACTGAAGTGATTGGTATTTTATAAGGGTTCAAATAATTGTAAAGCCATTTTTGTAAACAGTATGGGGAGATCAGATTTACATTTATTGATTCTCAACTGAAGAAAGGAAAAAGAAACACTGTTCATATACTCAAGTACAATATTTAATTGTAAATTATTTGAAAACTCAATGAATAAAGTTTTATAACAAATATAAATTAAATAATACTTATGTAAGAATTAAAGAATAATTTTAAAGAATATCATTTATGGGGCCGCTATCGGGTAGGCAACCAGTAAACCAAACTATATTATTGCTTTAATAAACTGAGTCTGTCGTAGGGAAAAAGATTTTTTATAAGTGATAAAAACTGTAGATTTGCTGTGCATACAAAAACACATTATAATTGCTTACATTTCTTTTGAATTAAAATTACAGTTCAATATAATTGTTTACAGTTTCCTATTTTACCTACCTGCCTATTGAGTGACAACCAGAGATTTTCCTAACCTCAAAAATTTTCCTCGTGAAAATCTCAACAAAAACTTTAAATTAAGATGAATGTGACACTCCCCCCCAGTGCAGGCCTCGAAAATGTCGATGCCGAACAAGTTAAAACGGTAATTGAAAAAGCGAAACTTTTCCAAATCTGAAAATTTGTATTTTCCAGTTTAAAGATTTTTTAATCTCTTACAATAAATTAGCTGAATTGTGTTTCACCGACTGTGTTTCGGATTTTACATCTCGGAATATTAAAGGGAGTGAAGTGGGTAACATGTATTTTTGTTTCTGTTTATTTTATCTGCTTATTACAGGATCGCTGTGCGTTAAATTGTCTAGAAAAATTCCTTAAAGTAAACCAACGTATTTCTCAAAGATTCCAGGAATTCCAGATGCTTGCCAATGAAAATGCAATCGCAGCGGCACAAAAACTCGGTCAAAATCCGACCTGAACGATAATTTATTTGTGTTTGTTATTGATTTGCTAGTTTGTTATAAAATATAGTTTCATCTTTAAATTTCCGTTTTTTCGTTTTTCATCTTTGACAACAGTGGGTTTGATTGTTTTGATAAAATTGAGTATCCTCATTCGTTAAATGAACCACGTCATTGTCAACAGAAGCAGGAAATTGTAAATTTTCGTGATTTTCCACTGCTGCATTTATCAGTGTTAACATTGCCTCATCTGCAATAAAAAATAAATTACTACATTTGTATAACATTTAGTTTTACCTATATGGACATTATCCTTGGCCGAAGTGATAAACCAAGCTAATATGTTATACTTTTCGCAGAAATGCACAATTTCTTGAGGCAGTGTTGCAATAGTAATATCACCCTTATTTGCTAAAATCACCACAGGTACAGGAACACCCCCCGGCAAATGTACTTTTTTACGAAGATCGAGTAACCACTAAAGAAAAAATATGAATAAAACAATAAAATTTTCATATTTTAATACCTTTTCTACCGACTTAAAAGTCTCGGGCCTTGTCAGATCAAAAACAATAGCGGCAGCAACTCTAAAAAATAAAAGGGCAATAATGAATGAATAATTGTTCTTTATCACAATGTCCTTGAATTTATGAATTAACGTAATTGTAAAACTTCCTTACGCATATCTGTAGTATACACCTGTCAAGTAACCAAATCGTTCATGCCCCGCAATATCCCATAATTGCACATTAACTTGAGTATTTTTATCCCATGTCAAAGATTTTATTGCGAAGTCGGCGCCGATTGTAATTTTGTATGAAGAAGAAAATGTACCTACATGTAAAAAAAATCGGATTTAATTAAAAAAATAAATAAGAGATGGCTTAGTAATCTACATAATGCAATGATAACAGATAAAATTCTTGTCTTTTCACCTCACTTTTACAATACGCTGAAAATTTTATCGCTGGGGAGTAAATAAAATAATGAAGTTGGCGTTTGGCAGATTTTGTATCCTGAGGGTTAATTTTTTTAAAAGGACTAGTCTATTTTCTGAACGATTTAAATTTCGCTTCCTTCCCTATTCATACAGTTAGATATTGATTAGACAAAGTATGTAAGGAATGCGGTTTTTATCGATTATTTCAGGAATTCGTGAAATACCCCGAACATATTAAATACACATAAAAACTTGTTTATCTTTAAATCAGATTCTTATCACTCACCATCAGCGTACCGCCTAATTATAGAAGTTTTCCCTGAAAAAAATAATAACTTTAAATTATCCATCCTTTAGCAAAATTGGCAAAAATACCAACTCCAAAATCTCCAATGACTAGAATTTTGAAAAGTAATTCCTTTTTACGAAATCTGAGTAAAAGACGCTCATCTTCGGACAAACTAGACTGGAGCGATTCTTCTCCAGAGGCACAATATTCACTATCCATGAGCAAAGTTTGTCATTTCAAAAAACACTATAAAAAAGTAAACTTATCAACTCATTGTTAGTTCTCACTTATCAGGCTCAGTACTTTGTGCATTGTTCAGTCAGGTGGAATTGGCGCTAAACTTGGATAATAAATTAAGATAAAGGAAAGCGTTTTGTCGCCATCTGCCGACATTCCGCAGGAAAATCGATAGCAGGATAGCAGGAATGGTGTTATAAACAGATGGCACCACTTGTTTATCGTTTATTTGTTTTATTTTCACAAAAAATTAATGTTGGATGTACTGTTCCACATATTCGAGTGTTTCTCGGATGATGCGTTTCTCCGTCGTCCTCATTTTTATCGCCATAAGGCGATTAGGCGTTGCTTGAGCTTCTGATATAAATTTCTCGTCTTCTTCCAATGTCGTTTTGTATGTTGATAAAAGAAGCTTAAGCCTAGCGTGAAGAAACCGCCACGATTTTGCTTCCAAAGCCGTGTCTAGAGCACAGTCGATGTACCCCAAATCGGCGCTTTTGTCGCTGTTTATCCAATGATCGAGTTGTTCTAAAACGGAAAAGTCACAAACTTGTGAAAATTGCAAAGACGACTTGCCCTCGTTCATGTTGAAAACGCGCAAGAAGGCCAACAGCTGGCCGTCGATCGGTTTCGCACCTTTTCTAATAGAAAAGTCGCAAGTGCTCGATATCGACAATTTACTCAACAAATGATTCCTCTTCTGTTGCAGAGGGTCAGACTTGCTTATCCCCAAACGGATCCAATAACAATCGTAATCGTTGTTTTCGAACACAAATCTGAAACGTTTTATTTAAAGGGGAGCAAGTTTTAATTAGAAAACCCACCCGTTGTGAACAAAAAGATCGGCGTTACTTCTGCTTCCGTAGAAAATGAATAATTGTTCTCCGGCTTTGAAGTTTTTTACCGCTAAACATTCGCTGCGATCGAGGACCGGGTTGTAAGCTGTCGATATCTGAAATGTTTAATTACTTTCGAAAAAAGCATTAATTAAACTTACAGTTCCGTTTGTGTGGTTGCACATGTCCCATAATGGTATAAGAGCGTAGTAATTCTCTTGGAAAGGGATGGTGTTTTGACGTGTCATCACAGTAGAAACTGCCCAACTAGAAAATTTATATGTGCTTTTTTCAGATCTTTGCATGTTGGGACCGCCGCTCTAATTATTACAAATGATATAATTTCTCATACTTTCATGTTCCACATGAAAAGATCGCTAATATAAACATACATTGAGCATCACTTTCGCCAAAACTATCCCTAATTAAAAAATTCATGAGAAAATTGAGCCATTTCATGTGAATCTCATTACTTGTTACTTTTACTCGTCGACATACGACAATTTTATTTAAATAAGGACTTAAAAAATTCAAATTCGTCTCCTAGAAAGTATGATATGAAATCATTATTGAATTTGCGTGTTACAATAATAACACAAATGAAGATAATTTCAGTGCTTTCACCTTTTATTAATAGACGAGAATTTGATGATAATTGCTATTTTCCTGATGCCAATCATGTTAACGATTAAAAACAAATAATTATGCAAACAGATAAGATTTTATCCTTGACCTTGATCGTCCAAACTCGTTTAAAAATAACCGCATTTTGGAACGAAAATAGAATATCTCTGTCATAAATAACAATATAAGAGGTTTATCATAATAAACGAATTCACATTTTTTAGAAGCGAGTTTTTATTTCAAATTTACGATGTTGTTAAATTGTGTAAGTGCTTACATAAGAATTGTATATGAAATTTAAATGTCATATTTTGTTTTCCACAATCTGGACAAAAATTTTAAATGCACTTTTCTCGCTTTCTCACTTGAAAAAGCCAGTCGAAACAAACTGGAGCACTTGCACGAGGAAATAACTCACTTCAGTTTTTTCCTAATGGAAAGTTATCAATTAAATGGAAATTATGAAGCATTGAAATCATGGAACGTTGATTGCTATTTCCTCGTAAAAATCAATACAAGCAAAAATGCGAGAAGTCCCTCCTTGTGATGTTTAAAATGCCATCACCCTATTTGATTTTTGAAGCACAAAAGTGTATCCTTTTGTGAGGACACATTTTTCAAGAAAAAATTTAATAAAAGCGCCAAGATAAACACCAAAAGTAAACAAGTAATATGTTTTCCTGTGAATAGCTTTAAAATATGCAAATATTGCTAAAAAGAAAGGCAATGTTTTGTACATTTTATAACAATGTGATATTTTTTAATTTGAGAAATTATACTAAACAATTAAACAATGAGCCAACCTTTTACTTTTCTACAAAAACAGGCATTCAAGAATAGAATAATTAACGAAATTATTTCTCAAGTGATAAAAATTTGCTAGCAAATGACATGTCAAGGTTTATCACAGGTTGGCAATATACTTTGTTTTTGGTAAAAAAGCATTCAATCTAAACGTGTTAGTCACAATAAATTTTACAAAATTTAAGAAATTTGCAGATATAAGGTCGGGTCAAGTAATTAAATAAATTCCTCGTTTCAGTTATTTTTATCAACTGTAATTTGCGCAGTTTTGTTATTAGTTATTATTATTGATACGCCTCCTATAAGGAGTGGACTGAAGGACGACAAATAGTAACAATTTAAAAAGTGATATCACTCGATTTACGTAACAATAATAAATAAATATCATTACAATACACACATTTGTTATATAATAACTGCCATATCCATATTTTATATTGACCGATTATTAAGGATGTGTGTCCACAATTTATTACGTTTATAAAAAACAGTAACTTCTCAGTTACATCAGGTTTTTCATTTCGACATTTTCTTGAATACATCAAAATCTGGTTGTAAACAAGTTGTTTAAAATTCGGTATTTTGAAATTGTAATCAGAAACTGAAAACGATTGTTAAAACGCACACTTCTTCACTTTCTTTGATATTTAAACGAATTCAGTTAAAACGACATTTAACATGGTTGGAATAAGTGATTATAAAACTTTCCATTTTTGATGGGACTGTAATTACATAAATTAAGCAAGTCGTACATTTATTTACCGTAACATGTGAGCTAAAGTCGTTGAAATTCTAAATTAACTACGTTTTTAATAACTTCTTATTACCAGTTATCAAATTAGTACGAAAATGAAATCGTTCCGCAGTCTTGCTGATTGCGAGAAACAGAAATTCGACTTATTAATCATTTTCAAGCTAAAACAGGAGAGTCAAAAATAATTTCGCTTTCGTTTAATTATTCAGGAAAATTGAAAATTGCAGAACACAAGTCTCATTCTTCATTCTTAGTTCACAGCAAATTTCTACCTGTGTTTAGAATTTTTAATCATTTTGCAGGTGCCAAAATAAACTTTCATGACGCGGTCTAAGTAGGTAAAAATTCTCAACTAGAACAGGAAATCGTGGCATCCAATATTCACCATGTGGTCGGTTATTTTCTTTATGGTAATTGAAAAATGTCGATGGGAGAAAGTGCAGCCACAATACGTACTGGGACACCTGACATTGAAATCGTCTGATGCTTTACACAGTGTGAACAATAAAACGGTAAATAGTTTTCCGCTACGACTAATAAAATGTAAAAAGAGAAAGTCACTATTGTCTCAGCTTAATTTATCGCAGTGTCAACGTAATCCGCACCTTTGTGTACATTTCCAATAAATCTCCGACTATAAGGAAGAGATTAAAAGACCAACAAAAACTTTTCTGAATTCCTTTCAGTCCCGCGAGACTTGATCCAAAAATTACCTCCTGAATTATTGAGAAAAAAGGCCTTATCGAACAGATGAAAATCAAATTATATGCTCGCTATTTCAAAGTGAAAACTGTCTATTCACTCACGCTATGCTCACAAGTTTATTGAGATTGTTTCGCAAGGTTTAGCTGATTTGGTATATAGAGGGGTGTTAATGACTTGATAATCCACGAGGCGGTAAAGCTTTCAAAATTTATTTTATGTATAAAATGCTTTGATGCTTCAATTTACGAGAAAATAAAATTTCACAAGCTTGTAACAGGCTTTTGTGAATCTTGGATTGTAGTGGAAGGAATAATTATATAGAGTGGAAGGTTGAAAAGTCATTGTCATGTTAACATTGACTCCTTTTCTTTAGAAATTATAGGTTTGGGCCTTTAATTGACTGGAAAAGAAGGATAAAAGCGCAAAGTTGTAATTTAAGCCATTGGCCATTTTAATGTCTTTGGACCCATTTTCAAGAAATTATATAATTGACAGGGTCTATTCTCTATTTGTCCCGGTGAGATTTTATTGTTAAATCAAAAAAGAAAAGAATGGGAAAGTTGTCTTGGATTTAAAAATCAGTTTCAAGTTGAACAAAATTTAAAAACGAAAATAAACTGAAGCCTCATTAGAACCCTTGCTATTTGTTTAGATATTTATTATTCAAATTAAATTAATCTGTTTGAGACTTGAAGAATTAAATTTTTAAAAAATGGATCATAACTGAAAAATTCTGCAGCTTTTAATATGATTTTACAACAGTTTTACCACAAGAAAAGCAGATAAGAGATATTTAATATTTATGTATAAAGGGAATAAACATTTTTTTTAATCCCGAGAATGTACCTATAATTTTCATTCGAGGGATTAACCATGTTTGTTCCATATATACCTACAAAACTTTTCTCCTAACAGACTAAATTAATAATAACATAAGAAAATAATAAATTTGTCAAATAATGTCAAAATAATTTGTGAAAATATTCACTTCACTCAATTGCAATTTTAAGAGTTTGTTTATATAAAAAAAACACTGAAAAGATTTAATTCAACTCCATTTATTTGAAGAGTAAAACTCGATGTATTTTATTCACAGGGGAATAAAGTCTTACTTTATTTCCGGTTGGGAGGAAACTATATTTGACATTTAGACACAACTAATTTTTGTTTCGCTAATAAGTACAAGGTGTGACAGAACTCGCGCCCCAGAGAAAAATTTCAGGTAAGATAAGGTACCAGGAACATGGAAAAATCTTTAAAAAATTCTATCTGTCAAAAATTTTTGACATTTTGTATATGTCTTTTTATAATTATTTAGGTGCAAAAATTTTGCTAATAAAAGCCACAAATAACATTAAACAGAGTTACCTCCTTGTTGCCTCTTTTGTAGCAAAAAAACTTTTACAACAGAAATAGAGTCAAAGTGCAAAATTTAAACTCTCATAATTTCGAATTTTTTATAACTAGAATTTTTTTAACATCCTCAGATTGAGTTTACAAGAGGAAATTTTACGCCAAAACTGCGAAAGAAAAGCATTTTTTGCTTCACCTGAAACGAGCAAATCTGTAATTAAAACTTCATTATTCTGATTCCGTGAAAAAAAAAAGTTGATTTTTCTCTTGATTTTGAACTTACAATAATTTTTCTCTGCTTTTTAAGTCTTATCATATTGGCGGTTTTATTTATTTGACAACTATGTCACTTTGACAATTAATTTATTAATTAAATAAAGAAAATTCTTGTTAAAAATGACTTTGTTTTTTATCTTAAAGCTGTTTCTTTAAGTTGCTATTTATTAAAATTATGTTTTTCGTAAATATTTTTGTTATTTAACTTGCGTAAATTCATTTGCAAAAAATGTTTTTCCTGTTATTTTTAGTCTGCCTGTACAATAGTTTCATCCCCAGATAATTGCCCATAAATTCCCCTACACGTAACTAAATCAACACCCCTTAATTCGTCAAATTTGTGGATAATGAAATTATGCCGTACCGACTTGGAACACCAGTTCAAAGCCTTGTAATTAAGAAAAAGTTACATAACATATTGCAACAATACTCTTGTCAAAAAACCAATGCTCTTCTGCAAGTCGTATCAATAACCGGTTGATTGCTTAATCGGGGTAATTAATGCAAACGAATTTTTTCTTAGTAAAACTTCCTCTCTTGCATCAAATATTCTGAAATACCACATATCCCTCCGGGCCACCGAATGAGATTAAAATGTTGTCACTCTCTCGGCGTCGTCTGCTTTAAAAATAAAGAGCTTCCACGAACCCCGAATACAACTTTCTTCCTTTTACGACCGAATACAGCCCTCTTCGGCTTAACGGAACATGAAAAGCTCTTTTCAGTACCTTGACAGTTTCGCAGATATAAAATTTTAAGCGGCTCATTCGAGGAATTTAAACACTTTGCTAGTGTTTTCTCGAAGTTTGTACAATTTGGAGAAAGCCATAGAGCACTTGGCGTGCCAGAAACAATCTTTGATTGACTACTACGCTCCCCACTATTGGTGAAAGGTTTCAGACGTGCCGAGCACATGGTAAATTATCACTCAATACAAATCCAGTGTCTTTTAGTGCAGCATGCGACTGCTGTCCAAACATTCCGCTAAAGTATTATGAACTGAGCTTGAGTGATGATGAAGTTACTCAAGGGAGTGTGTGTGTTTTTCATTTGTGCAATCACTTTCGCTCAGGATATTGATAAGAATCAAGAAAATCAGGAAGATGGAAGAGGACTTGATAACTACAACCAGGTAGAACATTTTGTTTGATCAATAAAGGAAACGTGAATCAATGGAAATTTTGCAATTATTTCAAATATGTAACCTTGTTTACTTATTTATTATTCAAACTATTATATTGATAATGAAAGTTAAATGAGTCAAGATAATCGATTTAAAAACCACAACCGGATGGATCATTACTTTCAAACGTAACCCTTATTCTAACTTATTCGATTTACGACCCAGTAAAAGTACAATTTATTGCAAGTGTAAAAGTAAAATTAAACTTTCACCTCAATTTTTATTGCTATCTATCGATTATCCCGGAGATGAACCGCTAGGTCATTGGAATAGAGTTAATTTTAGAGACTTAATTAGTGGCCTTAACACAATAATCTTCAATAACAGAAGCTTTTTAATAAATTATCTCGCGATAATTGCATATAGTCATATGTCAGCAATAGACAAAAAAATTAATCTAGGTCGAAACCCACTTCCTGCCGCCTTTTGTAACCGACGAGTACAATAATAATAAAGCTGACCTTCATCGTGCGTAGTTTACCTTACAGAGACGTCCATTGAACTCGATTTTATATGGCAAAAGCTAATCACCGCGATTACAGATTTTTTTAATTGCAGGAATGGAGAGCAGTGGATTATTTTTCACCCACTTCTGATAACTCCGGATGGATTCCACATTCCGAAACCGATGAAGAAGCAACCCCAAAACGTCGAAGAATTCGGAAGCGCAAACGAAGACCCCCAGTATTCATTGAAGATGACTGGCCTAAAAGAGCCAAGGAGCCTTGGGAAGAAATGAGTGAGGAAAGTACCCAAAAGTCCAACAATCGGAGACGACTTACCCCCGTGTATGAAGAAACTGTGACTTTTGAAAAAATTCGGGACCCGTTTACAGCATTACAAGAAGCTGAGAAAAAACAGAAAACTAAACTGGATGAAAGTTCAACGAAAATGCCCGATTTAAAGACGATTCTGAAGCAAAGTGGAGGTTTGAGTTTGAGTGAAGTTTTACAACAGAGGAATTTGTCACTTTCTGAATTGTTAAAAGGGAATCGGGAAGCGATTTCTGCTCTTGCCAAAGAAGCTGAAACTACGACTGAAAATTTCACATATAGGCGATTGCCACCTTCGATCGGTTTGAAGAAAGATATAAACCGGAATTTTGAACGTGAATCTTTTGAACATTTAAGTTCAGATGAAGTGATTGAAGCTCAGAGGAGAAGATTAGCTCTTTTACATGGCCACAAGGATAATAAAGTTTCGCCTGTGGATGTGGTTACACAAGAAATGACCACGGAAGGTGTTACAACAATTTCCTTCAGAGAGAAAATGAGGAAATTTTTGCCTGTGACTAGTGCGAAATTGAGTAAACTCATATCTCAGTCACCTGAAGAAATTGTAACAAAAATACCAGACAAAGCAGTGAATTCAAGTGTTGACGAAATTTTGAGTGTTGTAGAGAAAAATGAGTCAGATGGTCCGTTAAAAATGAGCATAGACTTGGAAGAAATGACAGTTAAAAAAACGACTGAAAACTTTGTTCCGGCACCCACAACTGAAATATCTTTTAATAAAAAACTGAAAAATGTGACCGCCAAAGAAGAAATAATGGAAATTTTGCAGAATCCAATCGAACGTGAACACTTATCCCGAATTTTACGATTACGAAATATGACAGTTGAGGAATTGGTGCAACAGAGGGAACGAGGTTCGAGTCAGTTACATTTGGCCGACATTTTCCACAACAAAACCCGTGAGCCTGAACCACATGAGGAGCCCCATATTGGGCATATTAATCCAGAGAGTTTCTCCTATTTCCGCAAACCCAAAACAATCCCAGAATCAAGTTCAGTTTTGCCTGAAACTACAAAACCGCCTTACACTATCACTAGTTTTCCCACTTACAAAATCGAAACCAACAAAAACGTCCTTCCTGTTTGGCGGCAACTTTACCCGGATGTTTACCAAGATAATAATCAGCTTGATAAGAAAGAAAAACGGCCTACTACAACTACCGAGAAATTAGATTACGAAGAATTAGAGAGACTGGAAGAGATCGAGAACGCGTTAGCAGACGCGGCCAATGGCCGGCTTAAAGTGGAAGTACCCCAAAACGTCTACGAAGAGGAAGAATTCCTAAAATTGCCATCGGGGGTCAAGTCGGCGATTTGGGCCAGTTTGGCCATCATCGGACTTTCTTTGCTCGTATTTTTGACCATTTTGCTGATTTTCAAATGGACGCAAAAACAAAAACGGAGACTGAATTACAACGGCAGTTTTTTAAGTTCTAAAATTAGATCGCCGATTTTAGAACCTGACCAAAGGCGGACGTTTAAGACGTTCGTGTGTGAGACTCTCGGAAAGAAGAAGAAGAATTACTACAAATCGCATCTTCAGAGTATGTCGGACTCGATTTGGGATAGCGAGAAGAAACCTTACATGATTTGAATGTTTAAACTGTATTTATTGTTTTATTTATGTGATTTTGTGTGCAATATTTATTAAGACTTTGCCAAGTTTTTTCATTGTTGTGTATTTTTAAGTACTTGTATGTTACAAAATAAACACTTTTTTAGACAATTAGCTCCGGTCTTAATGTATTTGTTACATTATATTATGCAATTTCCGGCTTTTACTCACCAATATTCGGTGTAACTAAACCGAGTCCGCATGATCTTGCTGACAGGGTCATCCGAGGTTGCAAAAAGTTTGTAAAAATAGGCATATTGTCGTGAGATACTTTTTATCTGTTTTAGAGCGATTTCAAGAGTCGGACTTCCTCTAAGTTCCTCCAATTCGTCAATACTGAAGTACAATACTGTAGTATACTTCTTTGGCAAAATATCAATGTAGGGCTTCCAAAACGAGTCTCCTTTAAACTTTTCAAGTAGTAGAAATATGGCCAAAGTCACATTCGGCATACTCCCCAAGATCTTATCCTTTTCAATCAAGTCTTTGAGAATACTTTCTTTGGCATTTTCCACACTCATCATTAACTTCCTCGGTACAGCAATGACCAAACTCGACTCTGCTATATCAACATTTGCTTTAACCCCCAATCCATACCCTTCAAACTCCTCAATTGAACACCCATTTAATTGCGCGCCGTTTTCACTCGCCCACTTCATAAAATTACCAACGGTGGCGCCAATTGCACGGTTATCGACTGAGCTTTTTGCATCTTTATCAACCTCGAGCTTTTTTACCCTTTCAGTAATATTGCTAATCTCTTTCTGATTTTCTAGAGATTTTTGAACGGTAGGCTGTTGAGGTAGTGTACTTATTCTGAGCAACTTATCGATTAGTTCTTCGAGTTCGAGTTGAGACGGAGTGAGGTTACGTTGGGTCTTGCTTTTCACCGGCTGTGAGATCTTGGAAACTTTGTTTTTACGCCCCATTTCGCAGATTTGCAGAAAATAACACACACAAACTTTTTGGTCACCCACGTGTGGCTGTTAGTATTAGACACTTATGATTAATATTAGAATTTTTATAAATAGAGTAAAACGCGGAGTGGACAATAGATGGCAGGACGTGTAGTAAACGCAGCTCACTGTGACCACAGAATTGTTTTTTTGATAAAATAGGTTTTTACTGTTTTTACCTTGCATTTCGAAATAAAGTATAGACAAAAAAAATCTCTGAATCAATCCTTTTCATTTACAGTTATCAAAGCTTTAATTAAAAAGTAAGATAAAAACTCAACGGTGCTACTCGTATTGTATTTATTTTCCGGATATTAAGGGTAAAATTCATTCTGCTTTTAGATTTTTTAAATACCTTGAATCAAAAATAAGATTGATTTTATTTTCCATTTTTAATGAGTGAAATTAAAGATTTTAGATGTAAGAGGCAACCAGTAAAACAACCGTGTTGTCTTTCGAAGCTAGGTACACAATAATCGTATCATTTACATTATACATAAAAGATATTTCATTTACATTTTTAAACTTTGTTTTTAAATAAGTAAACTCGTTTTTAATTTGTTAAGCTTCCTTTAAGCTTTTTATTTTTTGTGTTTTTGCTCATTATTAAAATGTGGACAGATGTCGTA